AGCATCTCCTTTGCAACCTCGGAATATTAGTCCCACTTTAGAAGAGATGGAAACACCAATATTTAGCTTCGGTACTAAGAAAAATTCTCAAGGGCCAACAGGCCAAGCGTCAAATACAGAAAGGAGATTGCCTGTAACCTTCATAAACTGAAGCTGCTTTATCTACACTTAAGAACTATGCATATTGACTTTACATACTCCTCTTTGACCTTTGTATTTACTTATTTATTTTCAGGAATTCTTGGAGAAGAAAAGAGATTATTCTTTCAGAAGAGAAAGTTCTCCTGAGCCAAAAGAAGATTTAGTTCTGTCAGATTCATCGTCTGATGAGAGAGACTCAGATGGTTCAGGAGAAGATTCACCAGTGTTAGGCCATAACAACAGTATGCTTCTTAATTCTTTTCCTAGACCATAGAAAAACTGGAGGATCTTATTTTCTTCTTAACAGAATCCATGTTTTGCTTATTTTATTGATCTTCTGATTCAGGCCCTGAAGAAAGAAAAACTGCCAATTGGAGTAATGAGAAATCTAAGTTAGGCTCTAGCTCAGCTAAACGGAACTCTAACCTTAAGGGCATTGGACGTGTCGTGTTAAGTCCTCCCTCCTCTTTGTCCAAAGGTACAATGCTCATTTGTATGTCACTGTTGTGGTTTTATATACTGCACCCTCATTTGTTTTGTCCTGGAAAATGAACAGGGATCGATAAAACTGATTCCTTCCAGCATTGTTCAGAGATGGATGAGGATGAAGATGAAGGCTTGGGAAGGTCTCTTGTAGATATAACTAATATTACGTGTCTATCTTAAATCTTCGTTCCTGTCTTAAATTTGATTATTTACCATGTCTCAGGGCTGTTGCATTGTTCGCTATGGCTCTTCAAAACATTGAGAAAAAACTGAAATCTGCAGCTGAAAAGAAGTCCTCAGAAATTATAGCATCTGTATCCGAGGAGATACATCTGGAGTTGGAGAATGTCAAGTCTCATATCATAACAGAAGCGTATGTTTGTAGAATTTATTCTGTATTGCTTCTTTTAAATAATCAATCAATGATCTTGCTAATTATGGTACAGGGGAAAGACGAGTAACCTAGCCAAAACTAAGAGAAAGCATGCCGAAACAAGATTACAAGGTACATCAACACATTATATCTTAATACTGTACTCTAATTCACAGTCATGAACATTAAGAAAACTTAGAAGTTCAAATACACTATCTTTGGCAGTTTAATCCTGATTCAGGGTTATAAATCAGAAACTTGATATCAAGTATTGCTCTTTAGATTGCATTTAGTCTTGAAGTACTCACCATCTTGCTTCATTATAGTACCTTAATGTCTGTTTGAATAGACACACACACAATTCGCCTATCTGTTCTAAAAATGCTATATATATATATATATATATATATATATATATATATTTAGGCTCTCACATAGACATGAAACTTGCATTTAACATAGTTCCTCAAGACAATGATCAAGAGAATAAAAAATTGAGTTGTGTATTGTTGTGGAACATGAGAGTCTGGAAATGTCTTCATATGTCCACTCGTTGAATAAGAATATGCAAGACCGGAACTGATCTACTGTGTTGACTGATAATATCTGATTGTATTACAGAGCAACAAGAGAAAATGAGAATGATCCATGAAAAGTTCAAGGACGATGTCAGCCATCATCTTGAAGATTTCAAGAGTACTATTGAAGAGCTTGAAGGAAACCATTCAGAGTTGAAAGGAAGCATAAAGAAGCAAAGTATGTTCACTTTTGTAATTCTTGCTTTTACTATAACGAAGCCTAACACTAGAACTGCTATGAAACATGATGGTATTTAGTATCGAAGTTAGATTCTTTGTGACAAGAGAGTTTTAATATAGAATAACATGAGGGCAAGTGTTTCCTAAACTCGAACTTTTTATCTCTCAATGACAGGAACATCACACCAAAAACTCATTGCACATTTTGAAGGAGGGATTGAGACAAAACTGGACAATGCGACCAAAAGAATCGATTCTGTGAACAAGGCAAGTCATTCTTCTGCTCTAAAGAATCAGATTCTAAAAATGGTTAAATCATGAATTCAAAGCATAATTGACTTAAAAAATGGTGTATTGGTTTACACAGTCTGCGAGAGGAAAGATGCTGCAGCTGAAGATGATTGTCGCAGAATGTTTGAGGGATGATTGACACTGGAGTCTCAGAATTAATCACACGTTACATGTAAGTGGTTATTCTCCACCGAAAAACTTTAATTAGACGAGCTGTGTTAACCAGGAAAAAAAAAAAGAACCTCAAGCAAAACCAGCCTTTGGTTTAGTGGTCTCATGTCATGAGTACAGGCGAAGGCGAATAAAGAAGATAGTAGATGATGCTTTGACTCATTGATTCGTATTCGTATAGAATAGTTTATAGTTTATTTGTGAACCCACTACATAAACAACTTATATCATAAGAGCCGTATCTTTTATAGCAGTGTGTGAACTGTGAAGGTTTCATTTTAATTTATTTTGCCAGCAGCTGCAAGTTTTTTTATTAAACCAACTTTTAGGTAATTGATATCTTGATATACAGTATATCGGAACAAAACCAACCCTTTTTTTTGGTCGGCAAACAAAACCAATCCAGTTTCCAACTAAATTAATGCAAACAAACAAAAAAAAAAACCCCCCGAAATATTTCTGCAGACGTTCTTGATAGAGGTGTAAATGTTAATTACAATATTTTAACTTTTACAGAGATGTATTTCATTTTAATATTGGTATGAATATCAAAACCAAACTGAAAAAAAAATGGTTACAATTCGGTAACCAGTGCCGGCCCAGTAAATTTGGGTGCCCTAACCAAAATTAAAGCCATAAAAAAAAAAATTCTTTTAAATTAGATTTTTACCATTAAAAAGAATGTTGTAGTTGTCTCTAAAAGCCAACAATATTTTTAAAAGGCCCTACAAAAATTATTGTATATAAGAAAACTTAACAAATTTTTAGGTAAAAAAGCCTTCAAATTTTGAGGCCCTAATCGGTAGCTTGCCCTCTGCGCCGGCCCTGCGGTATCAATCGAATGAAACAGAAAAATAAAATATTGGATCCCCAATTTTACTGTGTTGATATTCACTTAGTAAGATAATATTTGTTGGGAAATAGAGAGATCACAGAGGTTTTTTCACATTTCATTCGGTCGGTAAAAAGAATTTAGAATGTGTCGAGAAGTAAAACGCAGAAGACGGAAAAAAAAAAAAAAACACGCAGAAGACGACAAAATAGTAGCAGTCGTTAGAACTTGGAAGCAAGCAACAAATAAGGGAGGGAGACAAAATAACACAAAGGGGTGGATGAATCACGCGCATCACGTGAAGTGCACGTGAACTTGGCCAAAAAGAGCCTGGTTATGGGTCCCATTTAAGAGCTTTAAGAAAGGGCCCATCCATAATGGCGTGAAGGTTCTTTCCACTCACGTGGGCCTTTTGTACCCGTCTCTCTCGCATGTCACACAACAACAACAACATCACTCACTCACTAGTCACTAGTCTACTACTAGAAATCATACATTACTACAATTTTAGTGTTTTGTTATATTTTTTATAACAACATTATTTGAATGTTTAGGTCTAGCTAGTTTTGACCTTAATTCGCTTTCCATCTATTTCATAACTACAGAAACTCTTCGCTTCTATTATGAACATGGCTATTAGTATTAGCTTGTAGTATGGATAATATTTTTATCTTCTATGGCATGATATTTAATAATCTGTCGGTACCAATAAATTAACAAATGAACATAATATAGAAGAATAGTGGTTCTAATACTGCAGATTATTTATTACCTTCTGTTGGACGCTTTGTCATTGCATAGTTTGGAATTTATTCCTAAAACTTTCGAAGAACACGTTTTTACAGGAATTTGCATGACGACAAAATTAGTTGCATTATTGTTGGAGCATCACCGGGAGAGATTTTTTTGGTCCACCGTTATATATCATGAAGATAATTCCATAAATTGCAATGAAAAACCTATTTAATGTATTTGGTTTCTTGAGCTTTTAATTAAAAACGCAAGTACACAAAAACACATCTGACTGTGTATTGTATAAATCATTGTTAAATAAAAACTATCAACCCAAAGTAAAATTCACGGATCAGCCGTTAAAAAAAATGATCATGCTTAATATTTTCTCATTTCAGATGAAGACAAAAAAAAAAAAGAATTGTAATTATTAGGGATAATATTATCCCACATTGGAAAGGACAAGGGAGATATATGAGCTTCTCCACTCATTACCAATTGGTTTTGAGTTAGAAGCCCATATTCTAATATGGTATCAGAGCCCGATCCGTACATGTCCAAATCCAATCCACCATCGGCCCAGCCCAATAGTTGGCCCGCCGATTCATGTCCGAGCATACCGAGATCAATGGCTAGAGCCATCATCTCGAGGGGGCGTATTAGGGATAATATTATCCCACATTGGAAAGGAGAAGGGATCTTGACTAGTATATAAGATATATGGACTTCTCCACTCATTGCCAATTGGTTTTGAGTTGAAAACCATATTCTAATAGTAATTATAGATTTGACTTTATTTTAATTTATTTTTTCTGTTCTTTTTCTGAAGCACAGAAAAATGAAGCGGTGGAGAGTGGAGAAGTCGGTCATAAGAATGTCTATCTCTCTGTACATATATCTTTGTCTTTCACTGTCGCCCATACATTATCTTGCTTCTCCCATACAATGCCACTATTATATTCTTCTTTCATTAATTCCATCAATATTTTTAATTATAAATCTAAATGAGAGACTTACACATTAACATGAATACTACTTATTAACATTTGAAGTCGACCAAAGTTAATTCATATTGTAATAATTTAGACTAATTTTCTATCCCGTGTCATAACCTCGATTGAAGGATAAATATATGAGTTGTGGACCAAAACAAATTCTCCATATATATATATATATATATCAATCATAAATTAAATAACCGAAAAAATAAATTAAAAAAATAAATAACCGAGTATACATATATACAACCCGACTATATATATATGCAGCTCTTCGTAAACCCCAATAAAGAAGACCAAGAAGTCCGAATCTCTCTGATTCTACAATTCACAAAAACCGGAAAAAAAGAAGTAAATAAAGCTTTTTTCAGTTCACTTCAATGGAAGAAAAGCCCTTAGCATCATCATCATCTCAACCAAACATGATTTCTCCATCATCAAGCTTTAAACCAAAGTAAGTTTATGGGTTTCATCTACACTTTTTACGACTTCTATGGAGTGATGTTTGTTTATACGTGACTATTTTTTGTTAATTATAAGTGACTCTTTTGTCACAGATTAAAAGATCAAGATTATATGGAGCTGGTGTGTGAAAATGGGCAGATTCTTGCAAAGGGTCGAAGACACAAGAACAACGGTTCTTTTCAAAATCAACGTAGGCAATCTCTCTTGGATTTGTATGAGACCGAGTACAATGAGGGTTTCAAGAAAAACATCAAGAATCTTGGTGATACACAAGTTGTTCCTGTGAATGAGTCTCAGCCACAACAAGATAAAGAAAACAATGAACATATGAATAAGAAGAAGCTTAAGTCCTCCAAAATCGAATCTGAGAGAAATGTTTCGAAAAGCAACAAACGTGTTGAATCATCAACATTAATTGATGATTCTAAAGGTCCAAAGAATGTTGAAGTTACTAGAACTCCTCCTGATGAGCAATCTGCAGCAGTTGGTAGATCCACGGAATTGTATTCTGCTTCTTCATCGATGTTTTCTCGAGGAAGTTCGAGAGATCTAAGTTTATGTTCTTTAAAGAGGAAGCATGGAGACATTGAAGAAGAAGAATCAACCTATTTAAGTAATGTAAGAGAAATTAATTAGCTGGTTCATTAAATTCTTGTCTTAATTCTTTCACATGGTAGATCATTATTTTTGTTTGTTATGCAGAATCCCGATGATGAATCAGATGATGCGAAGACACAAGTTCATGCGAGAATAAGAAAGCCGGTGACTAAGAGAAAACGAAGCACAGAAGTCCATAAGTTATATGAAAGAGTGAGTTTATATACACTCACATTTCATGAAATTTCACCCTAGTAGAAAAAATTAATGCTAATTAAGGATTTGTTAACAGAAGCGAAGAGATGAATTCAACAAGAAAATGCGTGCTTTGCAGGACATACTACCAAACTGTTACAAGGTTTGAGATTTAACTTAAACCACATTACATTGTTTACTTAGAGCGTTAATCTTCTCTTAGTGGAGATTTCTGAATATGTGTAATTGTTTATAGGATGATAAGGCATCATTGTTGGATGAGGCTGTCAAATATATGAGGACCCTTCAACATCAAGTTCAGGTATTCAAACTAATACACCAATTCAATAAAATTTCATGGATCATAAAAAATAAACGAACTGATAAATAATAAAATGATTCAGGTGTCAATTGTTTAAAGCATTTACATTTACAAGTAAATATTTTGTAAAAATGTTTTTTTCTTCACATCTTTTTGCGTTTAGGCTTTAAACTCTACTATTGAAAAATGACTCGATCAAATCACTAGAAACTAGTTTCATTAGGAAACAAATAACATTACAAATTAGAAACCGAATAACTAATTAATTAACAATAATTTTTTTATTCAGTATATATTTATTTTACTACAATTTTTTTTTAACGGATTCCTAACATGTTCACAGATGATGAGTATGGGAAATGGATTAATACGACCACCTATGATGTTGCCAATGGGTCATTACCCTCCCATGGGTCTAGGAATGCATGTGGGTGCAGCAGCAACACCAACATCAGTACCGCAATTCCTACCTATGAATATTCAAGGAACCAGTTTTCCCGGGATTAACAATGCATCATCACAAATGCTAAGGTTTCTTAATCACCCCACAGGACTAATCCCAAACACTCCTATCTTTTCTCCATTGGAAAATTGCTCTCAGCAATTCGTGGTGCCTTCATGTGTTCCTCAGACTCATGCTACTTCTTTTACTCAATTCCCAAAGTCTGCGTCCACCTCAAACTTAGAAGATGCAATGCAGTATAGAGGAAGCAACGGTTATAGTTATTATCCCTCGCAAAACTAAAGATTTGTAGGTAGTTGATGTTTTCTCCAACTAACTAACTTTAAGAAGAAAAAAAATGATCGTTCGTCTACTTTGTGTTGGTAGTCTATGGGCTTTTGGGCCTTGATTCTTGGAATGATTGAACTTGATTCCAACTATTTGCAAAGTCGATGTACAATGTTCAATATAACATTGTATATAAGTTATAAATAGAGGGTGTGCATTTGCATAATGATGTGCAATAAGCCAATAAGTGAATGATGATGAGTGATCAATTAGGATAAACCGATTTATTACTTTTTTGATCAATTTGGATATATTGGAGTCTCATCTGTAAGAGGGCCGATTGCATCTCTAGAGTCATATTTTACTTTTTTGCCATCCATGAGATCCAATCCAAGCCCTACTTGTCAAAATATGATGAGTTGAAATCAAACAGACTAACAAAGTGAAAAGGAAACGAGTAGTCTAAGAAGATAGCAATTAGGGTTTTTAAACTTACTCAATTTGCCGAATGGCATTAATCTTGTGGATAATGAAATTAACCTCGAGAATGGAATCGATGTCGGTTTAACGTTGTTTCTCCTACCTTCTTCTGCAAGTAAACACTGTGTATTCCCCAAGTAAACCCTAAACCCAACTAAGATGTGACATGAAGAGGAGTCATTATACCTTTTTGACCTAAATCGTGGAATTTGAAACGAATTTTGCCGTTTTTGGGTTTATAAAAGGAACAATCGCAACGATGAGGTAACGTACTAAAATTGGGCTTGATGGGCTTTTTAGTGGACTAATATTCTTAAATGGGCTTTTTCAAACGCGAAAACAGGGGAGTGAAATAGTGTAATGGAGATGGAAGTATGGGACTCACATGGACACTGAATTTCTGATATTAACGGCTGATGTCTGGTGCGTTGAAATTAATGTGAAGATTCTTTCTTTAAAATAGATGAGACTCTTATCTCAAAAGTTAACATGATACTTAGAGAAAGTGAGATGGTTAAGTCTAAACCAATTCTTTTAGAATAGAAAATTTTCAACCACTTTCTTTAAATTGAAACCATGCAAAAGTAAATAACAAACGAAAATGTGTTTCATTTTAAGATTCGATGTCACGATCAATCACATTTTTTTTTTTTTGAATTTACACGATCAATCACATTGCACCGTTGGTTGATATATATCTATCATCTTTGTTTATTTATTTCACAATGTTTTACTATAATTATTCAAATACCAAATTAACTCTCCAAACAATTAGTTTAGTAAGTAGTAGTTTGTTCGATTAACCTAGTGGACTCTGTCCGCATCTCCGCTCTATACTTTACTGATTTCATTATCTGCCACAGAAATTTCTAGAATCCGACTCCATATGCTATCATACCATAAGCACATTATATAACTCTATTTAATGAATACTCCAAAAATTATGTGTAGTTAATTAAAGATTTTTATAGGAATTATATGAAAACAAAAGTACCAATTCTATTTAGGTCATATTTATCATATAGAAGATAAGAGCATAACTTTAACGTTATAATTTGTGAATTTACTCTTCTTTTAAAAAAAAATGTGAATTTACTTTTTCATCAGTGTTAGATACTTTTTTTTTGGGGTCTTTTTCACAATGATAAAGGAAAAGTGAACAGTCTTGCTTGTGCTCAATTCATATTACAAAGAGAACACAAAAGCAAACTTAAACACTCACATTACACTTTTCCTCTTTGTTTCTTTTGATGGAGTTTCTGAGCACCTCTTTGTTTCTTTTGATGGAGTTTCTGCTTGTTGTTGTTCCAAAGATATGGGAATGTTGTCGGATCCTTGTTTGGCGGCCATTGATGCTATCAAGAAGGTTCAAGAAACAAGGAATATCAGGTCCTAAATACAGCCTCTTTTACGGAAACATGAGGGAGATAAGAAAGATGAAGATAGACCCAACACCAACAATATTTTCCCTCGCGTTTTTCCTCATTTTCAGCATTGGATGTATAAATACGGTGCCGTTTCATTTCTCCATCTCTCTTTGTTGACATTACTTTATTTGAATTATCGATAGAATGCGTAACGCACCGGTTATCTGTTGTAATATTATAGGAGAAACATTTCTCTACTGGAATGGAACAGAGCCGACGATATGCACCTCAGATCCTGAACTAGCTAAACAAATCTTGTCGAGCAAGTTAGGTTTTTCGGTTAGATCAAAGAGGAGACCGGAGTTGCTCATATTTTTCGGTAAAGGACTTTCCTTCTCTGAGGGTGCTGATTGGGTTCGCCATAGAAGAATCTTGAACCCTGCACTCTCCACTGACCGGCTTAAGGTCTTTTTAATCTTTTTTTCCTTGATTGGGAACACAGCCCTAATTAGAACAATCAGTAGTTAATCTCATTACTTGCTGATAACTTATTTTTAGGTCATGACGAAATCGATGGTGGATTGCACATTGAGGATATTCGAGGAGTGGAGAAAACAGAACAAATATGAAGAAACAGAGCAAAATGTGATGAAGATGGAGATGAAGAAAGAGTTTTATCGATTAACCGCTGATATTATAGCGACCACTGCGTTTGGAAGCAGTTACGCCGAAGGAAATGAAATCTTTAGAGCACATGTAGAGCTTCGGAATTGTTGTGTTACTTCTGCCACCAAAGTGTTCATCCACGGAAAACAGTAAGTGTAATCACTCTACTACTTTTAGTTATTTAATCAGAAGAGATTCTTGAGTTTTGGTTCTTTCTTATACTGCAAGGTACCTTCCTACACCTTTGAATCTTCGTATATGGAAGCTCGATAGGAAAGTAAAGAACATGATCAGAAGAATCATTGATACTAGGCTAAAATGGAAGAATCATGGAGATGATGATCTTCTAGGAATCATGTTAAACGCTGCAACCTCTGAAGATCCCGAGAAAAAGTTGAGCATAGATGAGATCATAGAAGAATGCAAAAATTTCTTCATATCAGGACACGGAACTACTTCGATTTTATTGGCATGGACTACGATGTTGCTTAGCTTACACCAAGATTGGCAAGAGAAACTCAGAGAGTAGGTTTTTAAGGAATGTGGTAAAGACAAGATCCCAGATTCAGACACTTTATCCAAACTCAAACTGGTAATAAGTTACCTTTTTAAAATAGTTTCTTGCGGTTAAAGAAAATGATTTCTTGTGATTGAAGTAACATGTTATATCTTGCAGATGAACATGGTGTTAATGGAGTCACTTCGTCTGTAAGGACCCATAATTCAAATGTCTCGAGTGGCAACACAAGATATGAATGTAGGACGCGTGGAGATCCCCAAGGGAACGAGCATAATCTTCCCGTTGCTGAAGATGCACAGCGACCGAGACGTTTGGGGAGATGACGCCGACAAATTCAATCCCCTGCGATTTGCAAACGGCGTTTCTCAGGCCGCTAATAACCCAAACGCTCTCCTCGCGTTCTCATTCGGACCAAGAGCTTGCATTGGCCAACACTTTGCCATGATGGAAGCTAAGACTGTGCTTACTATGATTCTTCAACGGTTCCGGCTTAACCTCTCCCGCGAGTATAAGCACGCTCCGATGGATTACATCAGTCTCCATCCACAGTACGGCTTACCCATAATGGTTAAGCCTCTCCACATTTGAATTAAATCCCCCCAAAAAAACGATTTACTAAAAGAAACCCTACTTATCTAATCTACCGTTTAATTAGTAGTTATTCTACATCGTATTTGGGCCTAATCCCACTAATAAATTGGGCATCTATGATGTTAAATTTTGGAGCAGCCTAAGGAAACACTAACGGATGACTAGTAGGACAAATATCCAAAAATATTATATCAGCATGATCCGGATATTTAAAAAAAAATCATCGTATCAAGACAATCTAGTCCGATTTTCTGAAATAGTTAGTGTGAAGGCTCTTTCTTTTTAAAAGTTGATTATTGTTCAAAGCTAAGATAACAAGATACTAAAGTTTAAGAAATTGGATAGTTAAGTCTTAACAAATTCACTTAATTACAATATTAAAATCCGCATCCACCTTTAAAAGGTGTATACGAAACAAAACAGAGGAATAAGAGACGTATCAAAATAAAATTTCCTAAGATTACAATCTACAACCACGAATTTATCGCATCGCACCGTTGGATGTGAAGAGATTTTATCATTTTAGGATACAAAGACAGTAAACCTAAGATACAAGGAATGCTAACCGTAACCGTTCTATATTTATTCAAGTGTGAATTCAAATCCTGAATTATTCTCCCAAAAGGATTACTTTCAAGAGTAATTTATATTTTTCTTTTATCTAGAAAACTTCCACTTCTCTTTTATACTTTCTCTAATCTTCTTATTACGTAACAATCTGTGCTATAAACAAATTTAGAATCTACTCTATCATCATACCATATATAAGGCACCTTTTACTTTACTAATTACTTTTTGTTTGTTCTCAAATTGAAAATATACAGACGTGTTTGTGTTTACTTCATGTTCAGTGCCTGATTTACTGGCCGCTCACACTTATTTTACAAATTCAAGTGTAAGAAGTTATATATGCATGTCATTATATAATGTAAAACTTAAAACACCAAATCAACAACAATAATACACACACACAAAGAAAGGAAAAAAAAAAATCTTTTTTTTTTTGTTTTTTTCAATGGAGCTCGTAATTTTCTTGGCACTAATTGTCTTGCTCCTTATTGGTCTAAGGATATTCGAGGCTTTTGTGATCCTTGTTTGGCATCCATTTGTGGTGACCAGAAGATTCAAAAACCAAGGAATCTCAGGCCCAAAGTACAGAATCTTTCACGGAAACCTCAGCGAGATAAAGAAGATGAAGAGAGAATCTCATCTTTCGACTCTTGATCCCAGCTCCAATGATATTTTCCCTCGTATTCTTCCTCATTATCAACGATGGATGTCTCAATACGGTGCCGTTTTCTCCATCTCTCTCTTTGTTCATCTTTAAATTTAGATTCAACTTCCTTAGAGGATAATGCGTAACAAACAAGTTATCTATGTTATATATTATTAGGAGAGACATTTCTTTACTGGAACGGAACAGAGCCAAGGGTATGCATCTCAGATCCTGAACTTGCAAAAAATATCTTGTCGAACAAGTTAGGTTTCTTTGTCAAATCAAAGATGAGACCCGAGGTCGTTAAACTTGTCGGCTCCAAAGGACTTGTCTTTATCGAAGGTTCTGATTGGGTTCGCCATAGAAGAATCTTGAACCCTGCTTTCTCCATCGATAGGCTCAAGGTCTTTTAATCCTTCTTTCTTAGCTGGATTTGAGAAATTAACCCTTATAGAAAACAGATGTAATTAATCTAATTTTTGTTTTATTTTTTCATTTTGTTGATCAGATCATGACTACCGTGATGGTGGATTGTACGCTCAAGATGTTAGAGGAGTGGAGAAAAGAGAAGAGTAAGGAAGAAACAGCGCAACCGATGATTAAAAAGGAAATGCACAGAGAGTTCCAAAGACTAACAGCAGATGTAATAGCGACCTCTGCTTTTGGAAGTAGTTACGTCGAAGGAATCGAAGTGTTTAGATCACAAATGGAGCTTAAAAAGTGTTGTATACCGTCTCTCAACAAAGTCTTTATCCCTGGAACTCAGTAAGTTTATCACTCTGCTATTTTCAGTTCTCTGTTCAGGCAAGATTCTTAGGATTTGAAATATATTGGTCTTGTTTCTTGTATTCTAAGGTATCTTCCTACGCCTTCGAACTTTCGGATATGGAAGCTGGAGAGGAAAATGGATAAGTCAATTAAGAGAATTATAAGGTCGAGACTAGAGTCACAATCAGATTATGGAGACGATCTTCTGGGAATCTTGTTGAAAGCATACAAAACTGAAGGGAACGAACGAAAGATGAGCATCGAAGAGATCATACATGAATGCAGGACTTTCTTCTTCGGAGGTCACGAAACTACTGCGAATTTATTGACATGGACAACGATGTTGCTGAGCTTGCACCAAGATTGGCAGGAGAAACTCAGAGAAGAGATATTCAAAGAATGTGGTAAACAAAAAACCCTAGATTCAGAAACTTTCTCCAAACTCAAACTGGTAATGTTTTTCATTTTTTCAAAGGGTTTCTTGTGAGACAATGTTTCTTGCGGTTGAAGAAACCTGTTTATTTCTTGCAGATGAACATGGTGATCATGGAGTCGCTTCGACTTTACGGACCAACGTCAGCTTTGGCCCGAGAAGCATCAGTAAGCACAAAGCTAGGTGACCTAGAGATTCCCAAGGGCACAACCGTCGTCATCCCGCTTCTGAAGATGCATAGCGACAAGACCCTTTGGGGATCCGACGCCGACAAATTCAACCCAACGCGGTTTGCAAACGGTGTTTCCCGAGCCGCCAACCACCCAAATGCTCTCCTAGCATTCTCCGTCGGACCAAGAGCCTGCATTGGCCAAAACTTTGTCATGATCGAAGCCAAGACTGTGCTCACCATGATTCTTCAACGGTTTCGGTTTATTAGCCTCTGTGACGAGTATAAGCACGCGCCGGTGGATCACCTCACTATTCAGCCTCAGTACGGCTTACCCGTAATGCTTCAGCCTCTGGAAGACTGAAGTCTTAATGAAACTAAGTATCTCTCTACCTTATGTGTGTGACAAAGTCTTCTTCATATAGGCCGGCTTATTTCTTATGGTGGGGGCTTTAACTAATCCTTGTTAAATTATTGGGCTTTTACAGTCTCAATTTGGAACCCTTGGATGGGCTAAATAGTTATTAATATATTGGGCTTATTGCTTAAAGCCGGCGTATAAGTGATGTGATACTGTATATTGCATGTGTAATTGAAAAGTGGAACGTTTTCATCATGAATTAAAAAGCTAAAAGCAACTTGAAACATGAGTAACCGACAATATATATTGTTGAAACTGACTAACTGTTGTTTTGTGACAAAATATATATATTGTTGCGTGAGTCATTGTTTTTGTACTTGGATAAATCCAGTATTGTTCACATAGAAATTGGTTTCGGGGATAATAAACTAATAAATGCATCATAATAAATCTAAAATATAGGAATCTCGAACCTCCTTTTGTTCAGAAAAAAAAAACAGTGCAAAATGTTAATAAGTTATAACAATAGAAATTGTCCTATAACTTCAAAATATTATGATGATGAAAGTATATCAGATTTTATTACAAAAAATGGCAAAATGCCAAACGAAAAATCTGGATCGCTGTTTGCGTTATTCGTGGTTGCCGTTTGAGACGATCACGTAAGCTTTAGCTTTTATACGATTTTCTACGTGTGTCATATCCCTAGAAACAACATCTATATAACTTATGTTTCTAACTTGTAACTTGTAAGCTTCGAGAAGATAAGACTTACTTGCATAAGCAATCACGTCATCTATTATATAATCGATGTTGTTCAATGAATTTAAAAGACTACTGTCCCCACACCTCCATTATTAAGGCATTAACATACTTTATTTATCGTCCGTTACATTGTATTATACTATTATTTTATTTCTCTTATGTAAAATAAACTCCATTAAACTACGTTGAATTTTGTTAAAAACCAAGTGTGATCCTAACTCCTATGTTTTTTCACTCATATCACATCTCAGTTATCAAATAAAATTCAGAACTACTTTTGTTAATCTGTATAACTCGAATAAACTTCAATTGGTTAAAGACAAATTCTCTTTCATAAATTTAAGAAAATGCTTAAATATTTCTTTTTTAGATGTCAAAGTGTTTGACAAAACAAGATGCCAAAATTAACATAAAGTTCTTTTGCACTTGTTGTACAAACGTTTATTTTTCCTTTGAATATAATTTAACATTATATTAAAAAAAAAAAAAATGACATAAAGTTCTTTTCATTATCTCTTTTTTTGTTCGGTTAGAATTTTATTCATTATTTCTTCAAAACAGGAATAAATAGAAATAGAGTGCTTGTGCTTGCTTATATCAGAAACAGAAGTCAGGACGACCTCACACTCACATGAGACATAAAACTGAAAACCCCACTTCGAATCCACCACAAAGCAAACTCAAACCAAAAAAAAAAAATTGTTTGTTCTTCCAATGGAACTCCTGAGCACGATCAATCTCTTAGCAATAGCTCTAGTGCTCCTTGTAGTTCCGAAGATATATGGAGCTTGTCGGATCCTTGTTTGGCGGCCATTGATGCTATCAAGAAGATTCAAGAAGCAAGGAATCTCAGGCCCAAAATACAGGATCTTGTACGGGAACCTCCGCGAGATTAGGAAGGTGAAGAACGAAGCTAAGCTTAAGATTCTTGATCCAAACTCCAACGATATCGTCCCTCGCCTTTTACCTCATCTTCAGCAATGGATGTCTCAATACGGTGCCGTTTTAGTTCTCCATCTTCTCTAATCTTCCTTTCTTTAGTTTTTTTGTGTTTCACTAGACAAAGATATGATGCGTAACTAACACGATACCAATGGTACTATTTTATTAGGAGAGACTTTTCTTTACTGGCAAGGAACAGAGCCAAGGTTATGCATCTCAGATCATGAGCTAGCGAAACAGATCTTATCGAACAAGTTTGGTTTTTTTGCTAAATCAAAGACAAAACCTGAGATCCTTAAACTTGCTGGTAATGGACTTATCTTCGTAAATGGTCTTGACTGGGTTCGGCATAGACGAATCTTAAACCCTGCATTCTCTAAGGACAAACTCAAGGTTTTTTTAAATCATTCCTTCTTATATATATATCTAATTGGATGACAGTAAAAGATAGAACTTTTGCTAAATTTCTTCATGTTATTGATCAGCTCATGACCCAATTGATGGTGGATTGCACTTTGAGAATGTTCGACGAGTGGGGAAAACAGAGGAATGGTGGCGAAACAGAGCAAGTGGTGTTGATTAGCAGAGAGTTTAAGAGATTGACCGCTGATATCATAGCGACGGCTGCGTTTGGAAGCAGTTATGCGGAAGGAATTGAAGTGTTTAAATCACAAATAGAGCTCCAAAAGTGTTGTGCTGCTTCTCTTACTGACCTCTATTTCCCTGGAATCCAGTAAGTTTCAGTATAATCACTCTTCCACTTTTAAAACTTCTTTCTTGTTCTAGTGATTTGTTTTCTTTCTTGTATCCCAAGGTACCTTCCTACGCCTTCGAATCTTCAAATATGGAAGCTTGATAGGAAAGTGAATAGCTCGACCAAAAGAATCATAGATGCGAGGCTAAAATCGGAATCCAAGAATTACGGAAATGATCTTCTGGGAATCATGTTAACAGCTGCAAGCTCTAACGAGTCTGAGAAAAAGATGAGCATTGATGAGATCATAGAAGAATGCAAGACGTTCTTCTTCGCAGGACACGAAACAACTGCGAATCTATTGACATGGAGTACAATGTTGCTTAGCTTGCACCAAGATTGGCAAGAGAAACTCAGAGAAGAAGTTTTCAACGAATGCGGTAAAGACAAAATCCCAGATTCAGAGACATGCGCCAAACTCAAACTGGTAAATGCAAATTTCAAAGGAGTTTCTTGCGGCCGAAGAAACCTTTTTTATTTTATTTTTGATCTAACTACAAATAATTATTGCAGATGAACATGGTGTTTATGGAGTCACTTCGTCTATACGGACCAGTGTTAAATGTGCTCCGATTAGCATCAGAAGATATGAAATTAGGAAACCTAGAGATCCCTAAAGGCACGACTATAGTCCTCCCGATCGTGAAGATGCACAGAGACAAAGCCATTTGGGGAAGTGACGCCGACAAATTCAACCCTATGCGGTTTGAAAACGGCAATTCTCGGGCCGCTAATCACCCAAACGCTCTTCTCGCGTTTTCAATCGGACCAAGAGCTTGCATTGGCCAAAACTTTGCCATAATGGAAGCCAAGACCGTTCTCGCCATGATTCTTCAACGGTTCCGGCTCAATCTCTCCGCCGATTATAAACACGCGCCGGCAGATCACCTCACTCTTCAGCCTCAGTACGATTTACCTGTGATGCTTCAACCCATCGACGGTTGAAGCAAATGCTTCTACTTTGTATATGAACCTTCATGTGCTAAAGACTTAATTAAGATATTGGGCTATGGATCATTTGGGCTAGCCCTTTAACGATGGCAAACCCATTGGCAGTGTCTCACAAGTTTTTACTAATTAAAAAATAAAAAATAATGATAAAGGAGGAGAGAAAATGAGAAACATGTCTCTGCAGAGAAATTTTGAGAAACTCTGCTTTACATATGTCATATTTTAACAGGTTAAATAGTTATTTTCTGAATAATTATTTAAATAAATAATAAAATTATATCATAGTTATTAAAATATAATATTTTGAGACACTTTTAGAGTGTCTACTAATAAAGATGCTCTAACATAGCAGGCTGTTCGAATATCAGGCGCCAAAGACTAAAGTCAAAGCTACTGGTCAAATGATCCTACGGTCAGCTTGATCCGGAAAATCCACCATCATATAAATCCATATCTTACGATAACAAAAAAAGTTTCTGGCCCTTGCGTTAACACAAAACGTCCGCCAAGCTTGTGACCGGCGCGTGGCGGCTCAGACAGTGCCGGCGTCGGCCACCCCCCTTGTTTCCTTGCATAGCTTTTCAATTTATGTCTTCTTGTTCGTCGGTTGTGGATGCGTGGAGGTTTTTGGCGAGGTGAAGTAGTGGGTTTGAGTCTCAGATCTGATGAGTTTTTGGTCTTGGTGTTCAGATCTGATGGATCTGTTGGTCGATTGTTGGTCTCACCGATCTCGTTCTGGTGTCACGAAGTGGAGTCACGGATAACTTCTGGTTTGGCCGGTGGTTCTCTCCGTTGAGGTTAGGCGTTTTCTAAAATCTCTCTTTTGTCCTCTCGACGGCGCTTACTTTTCTCCCTTGGCGATTCTGTGAAACATCGGATCTGTCTCTCGACAACTGGGTATCTCCTTCGTCTCTACGGTTGTCCTCTCTTGTATTGCTTTGTTTCTCGTTAGCCCCATATCTTGCAATCGCTTATTAAGTTTTAGCTTTTGGAGTGTTGGGTCGTTTATAATGCTCCCCTCTTTTGGGCTATCGTCTCCCTTGTTTGGGCTTCAGTTTCTCCTCCTCGACTAATTTACTCGATGTTAGTTTGGGGTTGAGCTCTTTGTGTCAGTTCAGAGGTTTATTCCGTAGTATTAAGCTTTGGTTGGCTTCAATACTTGTTAGTTGTGGCGTTGAAAGGTCTTGCGGTTCTCGATTATCTTACGGTTCATCCGGGAGACCCGTGACAAGGCATTATTTGAGAAAGATGCATCTTTTACCGAGAAAGCCAAGTTCCACTATCTTGTTATTGCCTTAAGTGTTGAAGCCCGTCTTCATAGATTGTTGTGCGAGAAGTCCTTATGGTGAGCTTCAAGAGCTTAGTTAGTCTTGAGACAAGATTAGTTTGGTTTTTTGCAATGTATTATCGAAATCTCCCTTCCTCTTGTAGGTTATGGGTCGAACATTGTGTCTCTTCGTAGTTTAATCTCTTCTTTCTCATGTATTGTAACCTTTCCGAATCTAATATCAATATCATTCAGTGAAAAAAAAAAAAAAAAAAAAAAAAAAAAATCCATATCTTACTAACAACAATTTACAACAATATCAATGTGACCAATATAATAAAGAAAAAAAAAAGATCTTAGTTTACAAGGAGATGTAAACATCTTATGGGTCCGGTCCGGTGCTCGTACACGTTGATTCATGATTCGATGAAGAAAAATTTTCATTGAAAATACACAAGATTAAATAAGATAATAGCATATAAATTAGTAATTTCGTAAGTGGGAAAAAAAAATCAATAAAATACAAAAATGAGGATCCACATGATAAACTTTGAAGAGGAGTGACGGAGAAAAGTGTAAGCCACATACGACTATCCCTGCCGGCACCACTAACTCTCTTAACATTTATTGTGTAATTAATTTTGAGAATGATATCTCTATTATTTGTTCATACACCACATATCTTATTTGATGCAACCTTCGCCAAACGAATATATTCACATGTTTATATAGTTATATATAATACCATTTCATCAAAATTTCCAAATTACGAGTATGATTAAAAAAAAGATTTTCCTTACCGTGTACATGTAATAATAGGTGTTTATATTCTGATAAAATTTTGGAATGTTTGGAGTTAGGATCTTTATATTTTTATTATGATATCGATTATACTTAATAATTTAAACATAGCTTTCAGAGTGTGTATACACATTTTATTTATTTAAGTATGCGTGGAAAAGCTACAGTTACTAGCTTTTTGTTTATTATTTTAGTGAAATCTCATTTCTTAATTATTGATTGTAGAAAACATCAGCGAGCATAGGTGTTGGTATTATCAAATTATTAGTTGACGAATATCTTTTTAGTTCCTGAATTGCCCCCACCAAATGAGGCATATGGACCAACCTTGCCTTTTAATAAGAAGGGGTAATTTCGAAACTTAAAAGAGATCCTCAAAACGATATCGCGTTATGGAAATAATAGTTTATGTAGATGCATACGATAATACTAATAAAATGTAATAAACGGTCGATTACCTAAAGCTACAATTTTGGATTAATGCATTAAACACGCGTTACAGGTGTCGCTAGTTATAATGCCTGAGAGTGATATGCTTTGGAAAAATGTCTGAATACTCGGTCTCTAAACTAAGACAAAATCAAAGCGGTCACTAATCTGGTGACGTTAAAGTACATAAAAGTGTCGAATTTTCTAAACAAATTAGAAAACAGTGTTTAACAAAAAAAATAATATAGAAAACAGTCGATAATAAGATAAAATCACCCACTGTGGTGGAGTTTCAGCTTAATATCTAAGAACATAAATTTGTTAAATTTCCATAATTGACTTTGTCGTGCGTAATAAGGTTATGTTTTTTTGAGTAAGGTTTTGGAAAATTCTTATTATGTACTAGTTAACTAACAATTCTTTTGCTAGTGATTTGTGAAATAATCTAACGTTTTTGCAAAATCCGAATATATTTTTTCATATATATAATCAACTAGGGAGGGCAAATACGTAAATCTCGCAAAACCCATGACTCGTATAAATAAAGATCATTTGCTTAAAGCATGTGTTGACTCATTTTTCACTTAAAAAAAAAAAACTCTTTTGGCAAAAAAAAAAAAAAGAAGAGAACTCTCAAAACGTTGAATTTGTTGTAACTCTTCACTTTCTTCTGTCTATCTTTAATGGCCTCTGAAGAGAGCATGATGATGAATTCTTGTTCCATTATAGACGAAGAGTATGAAGATACAGATGATGGGTTTCATTACCAGACAAGGCAAAACAGTTTGTCTAGGTTATCTATCTGCACAAGTTCCTTCAACGAAGACGATGATGATAACTGCACAAATAATCCTTCAGAATTGGGTAATTTCATCTCTACGTTGTCTCTCGATAGCTTCACTGACGACGTCGGAGCCGAAGCCGACGGAGAAATCTCCGATGACGGTGACGAATCGGATTCCGACAAGGAATCTTCCGGATTCTACTCTCTCCCGACGATCACATCTCGCCGGAGAAGAAAACTCACAGTTTCCCGCGGTTTAGAAACGAGCAAAGAGAGTGAGACGAAAATCGATGGAAGTAAGTGTAGTCAACGGAGGGTATTAACGGAAAATAGTAAAAGGGGTAATCAGCACGGTCACTGGTTTAACGGCGTGGAGAGAGACAGTGACGGCGGAGGAGGAGGAGGAGGAGAGTTGACGGTGTTAACGAAGGTGGGAGGAGGGAAGAAGTCAATGAAGATGGGGTTTGAAGAATTGAAAGCTTGTAGAGATCTCGGGTTCGAACTAGAAGTTCCGGGTCGGGTTTCAATATCCGCCGGATCAAACCGAGAGACTAGTAGTGGCGGCAACTCTCCCATTGCCAACTGGCGTATCTCAAGTCCTGGTAATTATCAAACTATTTAATCATATCTATTCTCACATTTATTTTTATTTTTCTTCACTAAAAGAGAAGATGTTATTAATTGTGTGATTAAACTATGATTAGGGGATGATCCGAAAGAGGTTAAGGCGAGATTAAAGATGTGGGCACAAGCAGTAGCTTTAGCTTCTGCGTCACGTTAAGCTTCTTATTACTCTCGTCTGCTCTGTTAGGGTTTGTCTTTCAAAAATTTAGCTTTTTGTTCCTTAGTCTTTTCTTGTATCGGTAACTCGTTTTATGAGTTTGGGTTTGTTGTAAATATGAAAGCTACACAATTACTTGTATATAAACCATTCACGTGGATTGTTTTTGTTTTACCTTTTTTGGTCATTAGACTATTTCCTAATGATTAGTATTGTTCTCTTTGAGTGTCTTAAAAGTTTAAACGATCAAAATATGGATTTTCTGCATACAAGGGACCATCTAAAAGCTAAAAGCTCAAGCACCCATTTCAAATCACAAATAAAAACAGTGACACTTTTATAAAAAGCAGAGTCTAATCGATTTAGGTTGGATGCTTTGTGTATTAGAATCCAATGAATCCAAGGACTATATGATCTTATTCCCCCCTTTTTCATTGAATATTATAAATGCAAGGACATGAAACTTGTCACTACTCACTAACAAGATTCGTTGATTCAACAAAGATATCTTAAAATTGTATGCAAATAAAGAATATCAAAGCTAAGATCATACACACGAAATAAAATCACTTATTTTAGTCGAAAACAAAGAGGATATCACAAACTATGTAAAGATGAAATGGCTTCAGAGATTTCGATTTGTGGTTTTTCAGAAATTGTTACTAATGGTATGGTATAGTTTGTAAGAATCACCTAAGCTGTTTGAGTTTGAAGATTTTAACTCACTTGAAAATAAGATTGTGACATGTTTTGTCACAAGGGTAAGGACAGTCAATGGCTTTGACAGTTGTTCGGTCAAAGTACCAATCACCAACAGATTCAGCAACCGTCTGCGAAAAAATGGAGAAAGCAAACAAGTTTGCAGTAGCTTGCAACGATATAAAAACTATTTAAGACCTGTCGAAAAATGTTTACCTTGGCATGAAGTGTAGGAGAATCTGGTGCATACCAAGTGTCCTGTCTTTCGGATTGGCAGTGTGCGAAGCATGAGTTTATGAACACACCGTTATGGGTCGATGTCGCGAAAGACTTTACAGCATCCACCATTGATGTCCTGAAGTCTATATTTGACAAGAGAAGGGCTTAGAATTAAAAACCACTGCGATGATATAGTTTAGAAAATGAATGTTACCAATAGTAAGTGAATAAATTAAAAAGCTCACCTTGGAAGAATTGGATCTGAGATGAATTACAATGCGAGTGATCAGATTTGCATGCCTTCCAAGAGCCGCTTAGGTCAACAGATGGTGGAGCTAAACTCTCTTGTACCTGTTGGAGATAGAAGTGAAATCTTTTACCTGATTTGAGCTAAACTATCTCGTTCTGTTTTGTGAGAATGAAGTGCTTTGATAGAAGTGTAAGAGAGAAGCAATGGGAGTGATAAGAGATGAAGAAAAGGAGTACCTGCCAAGCGTCATATGCTGCATTGAGAAGAAACATTGGAGTCTTAATGCCTGAAACCAAGTTCTGGGGAAAGAAGCACTGAGGAAATGAAACAGAACATAGTAAATTAGTTTGAAGATGCTCGAATCTTGTCTAATGGAAACTTTGCTTGTGGAGTGTGGACCAGTTAATGTTATAAATATAGAGTGAGACACATACCGAAGTTGGATCCAAATGCTTTGTACAGGTAGTGGAGAGTTCCTTTTGGAGGTTCTACATTTTGACATAAAACATTTAATCATTTACAATAAGGTCAAGATTAGTAGTATGAATACTTTGGAGCCAGAAATTATCTGCTTGTGGGATTACCTGTATTGTAACAACACCTTGAAACATCTTCCGGAGAGAGTGGCCTCCAGAGACATCCACTCTACATTTATAATGGAAACGTTTTGAGTTTGGAATATTGTTGTGTTCAAATGCAGAGTTAACTAAAAAAGATCTCACAGGAAGGAAATACAAGTTGAAGAGATTTACGCATCCATAAACATTCCAGCATCACTTAAGCATTTCACTTTGGTTGTACCCGGTAAAAGTTCCTTGAACTGATCGCAGTGTAGAATGGAAGCTAATCCCCCAGCTGAACATCCAGAAAGTAGAGCCTGCGATAGATCGATCATTTTACTTACATCAACGAGGGCAAAATCTAGTAACATGATAGGGCTGATGGTTCAAATGAGATGCAAAACCTGCTCTGCTTTTTGCATGCCTTTAGACAGTAGTTCTTCCATTGCTGCTTGCCAAATTCGTTGTCCTCTATAGTAAAGTTGTGAGCTCTACTTCAAAGAAGTTAGAAGCAATCAAGTCCCAAAGTTTCAGAGAAGTGAAAAACATGAAGGCTAAAAAGTACAATCTACTACTACTAACCTGATCCTGACTATCGCCTGTGAAAGAGGCACCATCGCAGTAACGCAGTTTGACTCTGTTCCAGTTGAAGAAGTCTGCGTAAACAGACAAGTGAGAATCAATCCAACGCAGGTAAAGATATTGACTACTCCCTGCAACCAAATGTGTAAGTGCGCACAGAGTCATGCATAGTAAGTTGGACAAACCAGGATTCTCATTAGCTTTATTGCTCAATATTCCAGTGAAGGCTAAAACTTTCTCCATATGATTTGATGAACCACGGCGAGTGGTTTTCCGGAAGATACAGCTCCTACGTGTGTTGCACCATCCTCCACCCTGCATCACAAGTAATTAAACCAATTGAAAAAGAAGAACTTAAATGAATCTAATTCTGTAGTCAAAACTCAATAAGCATACCGAAAATATGCTAAAGACTAAAGCTTTGATTAGATATACCTCGAGTTGGATCAGCCACCGGTTAGCTCCTGATCCAGAACCAGGGTGTAGATGATAACCGGGTAGTGTTCCATCCAGGCACACTGCATCAATGTGTTTGATATATGAATGAATCATTCAAGTAATTCAGATAAAAAGGACTGACCTTTAAACTCGTTTTAATCAACAAGAACAAATCTGATGAGGGAAACAGATTCAAAGAATGACATTACAATTTCAAGCTTCAACTTTGTGTTAATGAATCCGACCAAGAAATTCAAAATTCAAGTATCACCAACAACACATCTGTGCAAGCAACTAGAGAGAGAGAGAGAACCAACCAGCTCCTTTGGAGGCAGCAGCCTGAATCAAAGTGAGAGGCACCATAAGAAGCTGCGACGGAGATGTCACCACCAATTGACTTTCGAGTAACGAGATCTCATCGTCTGTATCTCTCACATTCCCGATTCCATCACTCCCAATCACACCTACCACCATACAAAGCCAGGATATCGCCGCCGCAATCTGCAACACACTCTTCATCTCCTCCGCCGGAGTCCTGAGCAAAACTGAAAACTTTGACTTAAAAAAGATCGATTTCTTTGATTCTTGTGAGAGTGCATGTGTGATTGATAGTGAGAGAAGCCTTTATGGCTTTTTTCTGGTAATTCTTTCACGCTTTCATCATTATGGTAATAAATTGATTTACGTCACGAAGTAATCTTTGAATAATTAATTGTCTATTCTCCGACAATTAATATCGACAATTAATATGGTTCTAGAAAAACAAGATAGTACTGTTTTTTTTTTTTGCAATTTTCATTTATCTTATTTGAGGCATTATTATTAGAGGATTTTACTGTTATTAAGATGACAAAAGTGTGTCTGTCTTTTAATGTTCCTCCTGCCAAAACCAATTACTAAATCATTAATTAAAAGCTTAAATAGTTTTATTTCATTTTTGTCGGCATCGGCTCTGTTTTACACTATCTTACGCCGCATGCGCATCCCACGTGTTAGTAATGGTCTGTGACGAGGCCCTTTATAATAACTGGGCCTATTTAATCATCACAAGCCCATTTCACTGTTGGCTCTCTCACGAACCAGCTTATCCATTGTAATTTTTTTAAATGGAAAAGTAGATTAGTTTCAAATGCTGTCAAAAAAGAGAAGAAGATTAACATCTGTTTTGAAACTGAATTGGATTCATCCAAATAAAACATCGTAAAGTGGTAGACAAAGCAAAAAAAATCAGTAGTTTAGCTTAACAAATACAATTTTTATAATTAGGAAGTTCAGAATTTAGAATATTAACATGCCTAGACTATTGAAATGGTGTACATGTACCCAACGCTTTGAACAATAATGACGTGGATCAATCACCTGTAATTGTATACCTCCAGAAAATGAAAATAAATAAATACAGTAAAACAGAACGGTGAATTTTAACGGGAAGACTTCAAAATTCATTTTTATGGAGATGCCTGCCCACTCCAACATACAACTTTTGTTTTATTCTGGGATTGTGTAATAAAATATACTAATGTTATGAATAGTTAATTTAGTGGATGAATATATTGATGATAATGGCTTTGGTTTTGGATCTGTGGACGCAATTACTAATAAATAAAAGATAATGGCTTTGGTTTTGGATCTGTGGACGCATTACTAATAAATAAAAGAATACAAAAAAAAAACAAACAATGTGAAACCAAAAGCATAATTTTCTCGGGCGTTGAAAGAGTTTGTCAGTGGTCAGAAACTCAAATGCAAAAAAAACGAGAGAGTGGATTTGGTTAAGTCAACAATTTGTTTTTGTTTGTTTTATAAACGTGACTCTATCTCTATGCAGCTCGTGGAGTTGGCCTCTTTTGCATGTTAGACATCATTACAAATTACAATCTTCTAAATTTCTCTTTATTTTACTAAGTTTTTTTTATAGAAATCTCATTCGTTACCATAGAAAAGATTAAAAAGACATCGATAAACCAAGTTGCATTTATAGAGTGTTAGTTTAATAATATCAACGATGAGTTGGTGTAGTGGCTAAGCCCCTTGATTACCGATAATGTAGGAATTTTGGAGGTCACGGTTTCGATTCACGTTGGGAGAAGTCTGCTCTCCAAAAAAGAGTTATATTACATAGTTTAGGCCTCGCTCTGGAAAATATACGGGTCTACGGGTTTAGAATCTCCTAATCATAAAAAAAAAGTGTTAGTTTAATAAGATATAGAGTGTTGAGATTCAAAATAAACTCGGTAAACAGAATATGATAATATTAAAAAGAAGACTAACAACATGTTAAGTGTTAACATAGTTGAACGTTCAAACGATATACTGTATAATTTAATTATCACCGGTCAATATGAGGAGCAAGATTCAATGCAACCAAATATTAAAAAAAAGTTGAAGAGCATAAACAAAAAGAAAGAAATTAAAAATAAAACAAAAACATTGATAAAATGGGTGTGAATAAAAAAGGGACCCACAGAAAGA